ATTTTATGAAAATAAATCTTCAATAAACAACCCCTGGCTTCATTAACCATGTGGACAATAAGTAAGAGAGACCAACAGTCGAACTGCTGGGACATAGGAGAAAGTATAAAACATAATTTAACAAAGAAATCCAAACAAAAATCAAATAAAGTAAAGAGATCCTGGATGATTGTTTGACTGTTAAAATATGATGGAAAAGCAAATCCAACACAACCCTCCAGCATCTGGCCTTTCAAACACAGGGCAACATCATGTTAAGAAAAATAAATTAAATATTGACCTGGATCTCTGTGTTTTATCTGAGGATGACTATGGTAGCCTTCTCACTGTTCACTGTCACAAAGCTCCAGACTCTGTCCACCTTCTTCAGACGTCGATCAGCTCCTCTGGGTGATGGCAGAGAGGACTCTTCATCTGGGAGAGCTGCTGGTGTAAGGTCATTTCTCCCACAGTGGATGAGCAGGGCATCTGGCACAGGTGATAAAAGGAGGAGGTTCCTTCAGACTAAGAGACCCCAGCCTGACCTCTGTGACAGGTGTGCAGATGAAGGTTGAAATGACCCCAGCCTGACCTCTGTAACAGGTGTGCAGATGAAGGTTGAAATGACCCCAGCCTGACCTCTGTAACAGGTGTGCAGATGAAGGTTGAAATGACCCCAGCCTGACCTCTGTAACAGGTGTGCAGATGAAGGTTGAAATGACCCCAGCCTGACCTCTGTAACAGGTGTGCAGATGAAGGTTGAAATGAGTCATTTTTAGGTTCTGTTGATTGTAAAATGGAAAAGAAAACATCACCTTTCTATTTAACATTTAGCTGGTGTATGACTCAGTGTGATTTTATTTTAGAAGACTGTATTGTTAACAATAGCTTGTTTTTACAATCCTCTTATGAAACTTCAAAACAATCACAGGATATAAACTTTTAACAGATGATTTTAACTTACACTTCACCTCTGTGGAAGATGTCAGACCAGCTGCTTTTATCTCTTCTTTGCCTTAATGAAGACACAAAAAACAATTGATTTACTGCTCACTTAAATATATTAGAAAAGCAGACATGACTCACATTGCAGACTATCAGTTTCTAACAGAATACAACATATCTCACCACCTGTAGCCTACGGTCTGTGGTGCTAACCTAGCTTAAATATATCTTAAATAAAGAATGATTTCATTAAAACCAGAGGACCCAGCAGCCCACGTGTTTTCAATAATGATCAAAATAGCTGGATTTTTAAAAACACAGTGTGTTTAAATATTAGACTTTGAATACGGTGGTTTGTTGTACTTACACATTTCTTCATCGTAGACCGGCAGAGCGCTTTCAGCGTAGCTGGGCTGCGTAAGTCATCAGGGCAGTACGCTAAGTGGGCGGGGCGTGTTACCAGGGCTCCTCCCCCCGGACCCTACTGCGCAGACTCTGGCTCCAAATGACGTCAAAATCGCAAGATGGAAGCGCCCGTAAAGGGCGTATTTTGGCTTCAAGAACGTTGAGTGGGAACAGCTACAGCGCCCACTGGTTCAGAGGCCAACCCTGATCATACCTGGGAAATTTTAAGCAGATCCGAGAAAGTATGTATGATGTAGTACTTAGTCCTTGCATTAGGGGGCGCTATGGTTAAAGTTGAATATTATTATGTCAATGTGTTCAGAGGCCAACCTTGATCATACATGTGTAATTTCAAGAAGATCAGACAAAGTATTTAAGAGTTACAGCCACTTCCTGTTTGATGGCGATGTGATTTGTAGACTTCCTGTTGAGTTTTGGGCGTGGCTTGAAGAGGCTTTTTTGTCATGTTGGAAATGCAGTAAAATTCAGAATTGTAGGTTGAACGTGCTGCGGGGGCTGAATGTTTGAAATATTGTAGGGGGCGCCACTGAGCCATTAAGCCACGCCCACTCACTTAAACAGTATAAGATGTTTGACTTCACCACCAGGATCATATGTATGAAGTTTCGGGACAGTACGACTATGTTAAGCCTGCGAAAAAACTACTTCCTGTTTGATGGCGAGCGACGCGTCCGTATGGCGACAGCGTTGGACGAAGGCGTTTGAGCTTGAAAGTGTTGTATGGCCGAGGTGTTAGCATGGCCGAGGTGTTAGCATGGCCGAGGTGTTAGCATGGCCGAGGTGTTAGCATGGCCCACACACATCCTGAGGGGGAACTGAGCTACCGTGTAGCAATGGCTAATGCTAATTGAGAAGCAGTAACTTCCTGTTGTCAACAGATGGCGCTGTGACTAATCAAAAAATGTCAGTCATGGACGTGTTCAGGGCGGGTCCAGTATCATGGATGTGTTCAGGGCGGGTCCAGTATCGTGGATGTGTTCAGGGCGGGTCCAGTATCGTGGACGTGTTCAGGACGGGTCCCGTATCGTGGACGTGTTCAGGACGGGTCCAGTATCGTGGACGTGTTCAGGGCGGGTCCAGTATCATGGACGTGTTCAGGACGGGTCCAGTATCGTGGACGTGTTCAGGGCGGGTCCAGTATCGTGGACGTGTTCAGGGCGGGTCCAGTATCGTGGACGTGTTCAGGACGGGTCCAGTATCGTGGACGTGTTCAGGACGGGTCCAGTATCGTGGACGTGTTCAGGACGGGTCCAGTATCATGGACGTGTTCAGGGGAGGTCCAGTATCATGGACGTGTTCAGGGCGGGTCCAGTATCGTGGACGTGTTCAGGACGGGTCCCGTATCGTGGACGTGTTCAGGGCGGGTCCAGTATCGTGGACGTGTTCAGGACGGGTCCCGTATCGTGGACGTGTTCAGGGCGGGTCCAGTATCGTGGACGTGTTCAGGACGGGTCCAGTATCGTGGACGTGTTCAGGACGGGTTCAGTATCGTGGACGTGTTCAGGGCGGGTCCAGTATCGTGGACGTGTTCAGGGCGGGTCCAGTATCGTGGACGTGTTCAGGACGGGTCCAGTATCGTGGACGTGTTCAGGGCGGGTCCAGTATCGTGGACGTGTTCAGGGCGGGTCCAGTATCGTGGACGTGTTCAGGACGGGTTCAGTATCGTGGACGTGTTCAGGGCGGGTCCAGTCTCGTGGACGTGTTCAGGGGAGGTCCAGTATCATGGACGTGTTCAGGGCGGGTCCAGTATCGTGGACGTGTTCAGGACGGGTCCAGTATCGTGGACGTGTTCAGGGCGGGTCCAGTATCGTGGACGTGTTCAGGGCGGGTCCAGTATCGTGGACGTGTTCAGGACGGGTCCCGTATCGTGGACGTGTTCAGGACGGGTCCAGTATCGTGGACGTGTTCAGGGCGGGTCCAGTATCGTGGACGTGTTCAGGACGGGTCCAGTATCATGGAGGTGTTCAGGGCGGGTCCAGTATCGTGGACGTGTTCAGGACGGGTCCAGTATCATGGAGGTGTTCAGGGCGGGTCCAGTATCGTGGACGTGTTCAGGACGGGTCCAGTATCGTGGACGTGTTCAGGGCGGGTCCAGTATCGTGGACGTGTTCAGGGCGGGTCCAGTATCGTGGACGTGTTCAGGGCGGGTCCAGTATCGTGGACGTGTTCAGGGCGGGTCCAGTATCGTGGACGTGTTCAGGGCGGGTCCAGTATCGTGGACGTGTTCAGGACGGGTCCAGTATCGTGGACGTGTTCAGGGCGGGTCCAGTATCGTGGACGTGTTCAGGACGGGTCCAGTATCATGGTCCCGAAATAACGTGCGGAACACAACGAGATATGTTGAGTCTGTGTAGAACGCACTGACACTGAGTTTGTGTCGATCGGATCAGCGCCCTCGGAGAAGTGCGTTAAAGTAGTAAGGGTAAGGGCGCCCTTGGGTTATAAATATTCACATTTAATCTCAGCTTAGTACACTACATTTCAGCATCACATGTAAAACTGGAGCTGGTTCAAGCATGTTAACCATCAAACCTCTGAAAGTCTCTCTGATCCACTAATGACTCAACACGTCATGAACACGACAATGACAGTGAGGGACGAAAACGCCATTACCACCAGGAGGCTCTTTATTGGTTTAGCCTCCGAGGTGCAGCTGGAAAATTGTAATCAAGGCTTGGAAAAAAAGCAAAAGGGATGACTTTGAAAATTCATCACGCGGCGTTACTGTCCCCAGAAGACAAACAGTCGGGATTAAAGCACAGCTGTCTGTATATCATGACGCAGAAGGTCTCTTCAGAGTGTCTCAGAGGGATAAATCTACAAACCAGGCCGAGGGAAACTGCTGTGATCTTCATAATCATGGTAACACTTTGATCAATGAATCAAATTAGGATTCTACTTGATTCCCCATCATGAGGATATAATCTATAACACGACCACAAACTTTTTGGAATTGCAGTTGTTGTCCTTTCACATAACATGAACAACATCAGGTGTACAATATGATAGCAGTTCTTTTTTTTACTTTTTTTTTTTATTGTTGTTGTGTGTGAATGTTTTATTTTTTATTATTATTATTATTTTTTCATCATTAGCTCAGTATTATTATTATTATTATTATTATTATTATTATTATTATTATTATTGTTATTATTAGGGCCCGAGCACGAACCGTGCGAGGACCCTCTTGAAACCCTCGCGATTATTATTTTTATCCTCCTTATTTTTTTTCCGCCACTTTGCGGCCACTTTTGAGGGCCTGAACGTGCCCGAAAACTCACCAAACTTTCCACGCTCATCAGGTGTCATGAAAAATTTGATATTTTGGTGGTTTCGTAAACGGAGTTCGCAAAATGGCTCAGTAGCGCCCTCTTGAAATTTTCAAAATGGCCTCCCCATAAAGGGTTTTTTCACGTACAATCACGAAAATTGTTACGCATATTAAGCTTGTCGGGACGGACGAAAAATCCTCTTGCAGCGTTTCAAAAAACCCGACAGGAAGTCCACGAATTCAAGATGAATTTCACGATAACTGCCCAAAATCGCTGATTTCAGCCTTCCTACTTAAATAATTCATTGCTTCACTCTGTTTATATTTCTTTCCCCCCTTTTCTTTCCCCCCTGCCCTTCCCCCCTGCCTGTGGTTACAGTGGCTTCTCTGACAGTCTGATTCAAGACATCATCTACAGTTATCTGGTTTTACCAAACCGCATCACCATCCCTCTGGTCGGAGATGTGGAACTGGCCAACCTACGCTTCCCCATGCCGAAGGTAGTGACGCAGCCGAGCGCTTTTTAATCCTCCTCTTTCTCTTTGTGTTCTACTTGATGTGACGGCTTCCTGTGTGTGTGTGTGTGTGTGTGTGTGTGTGTGTGTGTGTGTGTGTGTGTGTGTGTGTGTGTGTGTGTGTGTGTGTGTGTGTGGTGTGTGTGTGTGTGTGTGTGTGTGTGTGTGTGTGTGTGTGTGTGTGTGTGTGTGTGTGATGACTCTCTGTAGGTAACTCAAAGAATAAAAACAAAATCAGACAAAGCACCAAACAGGCATCTCAAGGCTCTGTCGACCTGTAACCATAGCAACAAGCTAAACACTTCAGGTCAAGTAGTGCAGCGTAGATGGATGGATGATTGATGATGGATGGATGATTGATGATGGATGATGGATGATGGATGGATTGATGATGGATTGATGATGGATTGATGGATGATGGATGGATGGATGATGGATGATGGATGGACGGATTGATGATGATGGATGGATGATGGATGGATTGATGATGGATGGATTGATGATGGATGATGGATGGATGATGGATGGATTGATGATGGAAGGATTGATGATGGATGATGGATGGATGATGGATGGATTGATGATGGATTGATGGATGATGGATGGATTGATGATGGATGGATTGATGATGGATGGATTGATGATGGATGGATTGATGATGGATGATGGATGGATTGATGATGGATTGATGGATGATGGATGGATGGATGGATGATGGATGGATTGATGATGGATGGATGGATGATGGATGGATTGATGATGGATGGATTGATGATGGATTGATGGATGGATGGATTGATGGATGGATGATGGATGGATTGATGATGGATGGATGATTGATGGATGATGGATGGATTGATGATGGATGATGGATGGATGATGGATGGATTGATGATGGATGGATGATGGATGATGGATTGATGATGGATGATTGATGATGGATGGATTGATGATGGATGGATTTATGATGGATGGATTTATTTGATGATGGATTGATGATGGATGGATGGATGGATTGATGATGATGGATGGACGGATTGATGATGATGGATGGATGATGGATGGATTGATGATGGATGGATTGATGATGGATGGATTGATGATGGAAGGATTGATGATGGATGATGGATGGATGATGGATGGATTGATGATGGATTGATGGATGATGGATGGATGGATGATGGATGGATTGATGATGGATGGATGATGGATGGATTGATGATGGATGGATTGATGATGGAAGGATTGATGATGGATGATGGATGGATGATGGATGGATTGATGATGGATTGATGGATGATGGATGGATGATGGATGGATGGATTGATGATGGATGGATTGATGATGGATTGATGGATGATGGATGGATGATGGATGGATGGGTTGATGATGGATGGATTGATGATGGATGGATTGATGATGGATGGATGATGGATGGATTGATGATGGATGATGGATTGATGGATGATGGATGGATGATGGATGGATGGATTGATGATGGATGGATTGATGATGGATGATGGATGGATGATGGATGGATTGATGATGGATTGATGATGGATGGATTGATGATGGAAGGATTGATGATGATGATTGATGGATGATGATGGATTGATGATGGATTGATGGATGATGGATGGATTGATGATGGATGGATTGATGATGGAGGATTGATGATGGATGATTGATGGATGATGGATGGATTGATGATGGATTGATGATGATGGATGGATTGATGATGGATGGATTGATGATGGATGATGATGGATGGATGGATTGATGATGGATGGATTTATTTGATGATGGATGGATGATGGATGGATGGATTGATGATGGATGGATTGATGATGGATGATGGATGGATGATGGATGGATTGATGATGGATTGATGATGGATGGATTGATGATGGAAGGATTGATGATGGATGATTGATGGATGATGGATGGATTGATGATGGATTGATGGATGATGGATGGATTGATGATGGATGGATTGATGATGGATGGATTTATTTGATGATGGATGATTGATGGATGATGGATGGATTGATGATGGATTGATGGATGATGGATGGATTGATGATGGATGGATTGATGATGGATGGATTTATTTGATGATGGATGGATGGATTGATGATGGATGGATTTATTTGATGATGGATGGATGATGGATGATGGTGGATGGATGATGGGTAGTGGGTGGATACTGCATTGATCCTGAATTCAAAGTATCCAGTGCAGCTTACAGAAAACATGACATGAAACTGCTGCAGAAACAGATTGAAAATAGATTGCTTAATAACGACATTAGGCTCCTCCTCTTCCGTGTAGCTCCTCTTAAGGCCTCCTCTCCCGTGTAGCTCCTCCTCCTCCCGTGTAGCTCCTCTTAAGGCTCCTCCTCCTCCCATGTAGCTCCTCCTCTTCCCGTGTAGCTCCTCTTAAGGCTCCTCCTCCTCCCATGTAGCGCCTCCTCTTCCCGTGTAGCTCCTCTTAAGGCTCCTCCTCCTCCCGTGTAGCTCCTCTTAAGGCTCCTCCTCCTCCCATGTAGCTCCTCCTCTTCCCATGTAGCTCCTCTTAAGGCTCCTCCTCCTCCCGTGTAGCCCCTCCTCCTCCCGTGTAGCTCCTCTTAACGCTGTGCTCTGCATGTCTCCACAGGGGGTCCTGAGGATTCACTTTTTGGAGGCTCAGGATCTGGAGGGGAAGGATAAGTTTCTGGGCGGCCTGATCAAGGGCAAGTCTGACCCTTATGGCATCCTGCAGATTGGAAACCAGCTGTTCCAGAGCAAGACGGTCAAAGAGAGCCTCCACCCTAAATGGAACGAAGTTTACGAGGTGACCTTTTCATTCTTTCACAGCGAAGCCGAGTGTATTCCCCCAAACTAGTATTAACATCAGTCTTTTGACTGGGCAAAGCTTTAATATGCACCGTGTCTCCATCAGGCGTTGGTGTACGAGCAGTCAGGTCAACACCTTGAGATCGAGCTATTTGACGAGGATCCAGACAAAGACGATTTCCTTGGAGGTGAGTTGATTCTCATCTCCTGATCCGATCACACAAACTTCAAAAAGAAACAAACGATGTAAGAGCATGTTGTACCTGTAGCTGAGGGTTCTTATGTGACAGGAAACTGTTTGTCCTAAAGACACCACAGAGATCTGAGGTGGGAGGGGGGATGTGTCTGAGCTGGTAGACATGAGTTAAAGTAAACAGAGGAGGTATCACACACTTCCAAGTCCAAGGCAGAGTGGATTGATTGTGCCTCAGGTAGTAACACAACACAAAGCAGCCAGTCGATATCTGGACCCCCTGTGGTCAGATTCATCGCTGTGATTTGTCTGCTTACTGTTAATTATTTGTCTTTATTCACAGCCTGATGATCGATATGACAGCTGCACAAAGAACAGAAAGTCGACGAGGAAAGCTAATTGAAGCTCAAGTTTGCACATTAAACTGCTAAAGGAAATGTTCAACATTTTAGCAAAAAAGTGCTGCCACCAGATGGGGATGGTAGGTGGATGGATGGATGGTAGGTGGATGGATGGGTAGGTGGATGGATGGATGGATGGATGGATGGGTAGGTGGATGGATGGATGGATGGGTAGGTGGATGGATGGATGGATGGATGGGTAGGGGATGGATGGATGGGTAGGTGGATGGATGATGGGTAGGTGGATGGGTAGGTGGATGATGGATGGATGGATGGATGGATGGGGTAGGTGGATGGGTAGGTGATGGATGGATGGATGGATGGATGGATGGATGGATGGGTAGGTGGATGGATGGATGGATGGATGGGTAGGTTGGATAGGTGATGGGTAGGTGGATGGATGGATGGATGGATGGTAGGTGGATGGATGGATGGGTAGGTGGATGGGTAGGTGGTGGATGATGGTAGGTGGATGGGTAGGTGGATGGATGGATGGATGATGATGGATGGATGGATGACGGATGGTAGGTGGATGGTGGATGGTAGGTGGATGGGTGGATGGTAGGTGGATGGATGGATGGATGGATGGATGGACGGATGGGTAGGTGGATGGGTAGATGGGTAGGTGGAATGGATGGATATTATATATATATATATATATATATATTATATACTATTTAAAACCATATCCTCTCTTTTTAGAGGTTTTGATCGTTTTGTCCACTCTGATGTTTTTTTTCACCCCTCAGTGGTTTGAACTGGAGGAAACTTCAACTGGGAAACTCCACTTAAAACTGGAGTGGCTGTCTCTGCTCACCACACCTGAGAAGTTGGAGCAGGTAAGATGCTATTTACTGCTGCTAGTGGAGACAGTAAACATAAGAGATCCATCATGGTGCTGACAGTTTGTTTCTCGCTCCTTCCTGTTTTTTTGTCAGGTGCTGCGAAGTGTGCGTGCAGACAGAAGCCTGGCCAATGACGGGCTCTCGTCAGCGCTGTTTGTGGTCTACCTGGACTCAGCCAAGAACCTCCCAGTAAGACGCTGACATGTTCTGATGCTGTAGTGTGTGTAGATGTAGCATCGGGCTGATGGAGGGTTGTTGTTGTTGTTGTTGTTGTTGTTGTTGCACATTAAGAAACACTCTTAACACGTTGAGAAAGAAGCAGCGCTCAGTTCTCTAAAAGGATTGTTATCGTGATATAGTAGATGACACTGCTCCAGGACTAACCGGGCCTGAACATCACAGAGAACATGACGGCTTCTTTACGGACTCTGTGGTTTATTTAGAGTCATTTTAGTCACATACAGACAGAACACTCTCGATAATGGAGGCGAGGATCGATCAGACTTTATGTCCAGGGACGAGGAAGTGTACGCTGCCTGAGCACTCACACCCGTCACAGGAACTGCACTGAGTCAAAGGTTGTGCACGGTACATGTTACAGAGTGTGAGTGCGCCCTGAAAAGCCTGAATGGAATAATGAACCCTATGAAGCCACCTCAGCCCTCATGACCTCTGACCTTCTCTCTCTCTTTATTCTCATCCCTCCCTCCCGACCCCAGAGTGTCTTCACAGGAAGCTTAGGCCGTGGGAACTTAAGTGAGAGGAGAGCGTCTGGGCTAGTGTTTTGTGAGAGCAATACCTCAGAGTATAGAACGATATGTGTGAGTCCCCCCTGAGCTTCTGCATCATGCTAGTGTTAGCATTAGCCGTGTGCTATGTTGTGGGGTTGAGCATGTGCTCGCTGCACGGTGTTATCGTAGTGAAACTTACCCAGAGTGGTGAGAACCAGTAACATGAGGCCGACTCTCTGCAGGGTTAGGGTGTGATTGTGGGGTCAGCCTAATGATCCCACAGCCCTATGGTCCCACAGCCCAATGGTTCCACAGCCCTATGGTTCCACAGCCCTATGGTTCCACAGCCCAAGGTCCCACAGCCCAAGGTCCAAAGCCCTATGGTCCCACAGCCCAATGGTTCCACAGCCCTATGGTTCCACAGCCCAATGATCCACAGCCAATGGTCCACAGCCCTATGGTTCCACAGCCAATGATCCACAGCCAATGGTCCCACAGCCCTATGGTTCCACAGCCCAATGATCCCACAGCCCAATGGTCCCACAGCCCAAGGTCCCACAGCCCAAGGTCCCAAAGCCCTATGGTTCCACAGCCCAATGGTTCCACAGCCCAATGGTCCAACAGCCCAATGGTCCCACAGCCCTATGGTTCCACAGCCCAATGGTTCCACAGCCCTATGGTTCCACAGCCCTATGGTTCCACAGCCCAATGGTCCCACAGCCCTATGGTCCCACAGCCCTATGGTCCCACAGCCCAATGGTTCCACAGCGCTATGGTTCCACAGCCCTATGGTTCCACAGCCCAATGGTTCCACTGCCCAATGGTCCCACAGCCCAATGGTCCCACAGCCCTATGGTCCCACAGCCCAATGGTTCCACAGCCCTATGGTTCCACAGCCCTATGGTCCCACAGCCCAATGGTTCCACAGCCCTATGGTCCCACAGCCCAATGGTTCCACAGCCCTATGGTTCCACAGCCCAATGGTTCCACAGCCCAATGGTTCCACAGCCCAATGGTTCCACAGCCCAGTGGTCCCACAGCCCAATGGTCCCACAGCCCAATGGTCCCAGATTTCTAAGAATTTTCTCAAAATTAGGCTATGTTCCCACAGGGTAGGATTAACTTGCCCTAACTGATACAAATTTATGAAAAAGGAAATGTGGGAACATAGGCACGCTCCCGGGTGTGCTTGTTAGTCAGATATTCTGCTGATTTACTGTAGGTGCTAAGTTCAAGGCGGAAAAGAAGAGCTCAGTACAAAGAGGACAGAGTGCAGCGACGAGGCTCATAATGATCTCTGGCTGTATGAGTGTGTAGGCCGCGCTCTTACTCAAACCCTGTAGCTTGTTAGAAAAGTCCCACAGTGTTTGAAAGTAGCTTCTCCCTCATTATCACGGCCTGTGTGTGTATTGTTAGCTCTCTGCAGCATCCAAACCAGCAGCCCCCCCCCCCCCCCCCTGATCATATTCATGTCTCAGCACATTATAAACACATTTTCTGGGGGTTTTCTCATGCCTCTTTCAGTGTTTCCCCTGGGTTTACAGCTTTTGGGGGGGGGGGGGCAGACGGAACACCGACACAAACGAGGAATCTTGGTGTTCATGTGTTACTTTTAATGACAGCTGTCCTGTTCTATGGTATCCTTAAATGACTTCTTTCCCTGGTTTCTGACTCTATCCACTATCCTACCATTACCCTTGTATAATGGTAGGGGAAACACTGCTCTTTACCCCCCCAAACTCTCCTCTCCTACTAACTACGGGTGTGATTTTCTCCCTCACATCTCCTCGTGGCTTAAAGAGCAACCTGTCAGATTTCACCTATGACGGGTTGAAGCAAGTCTCAGTCTTTAAGGCCCTGAAGGTAACGTGGGATAAATGGATTGCATGTTCACATCACCCCCCCCCCCCCCCCCCGTGTCCCGTCTGTGCTGCTCTCTGTCTGTGCACCGTTCAGCGTCATGTTTCTGGGACGATTATCAACCTGAAAATGGAATCATCTTGATGTGCATGAAGATGGATGATTGCATTGTGCCTCTTGGTTGTGTTGTGCATATTCTTCTTCTTTTAGCACTCATGGATCTTGTATGCATAAGTGTATTTATTCTGCATGCACATCTTTGTGAGGAAAGCTCTCTTCCATCTCTGTGGTCGATGAAAAGTGTCCTCTATGCAGCTCATTTAGCAGACGATTTCAAAGAGGAACCTTTTTTTTCTCATCCTGTCCAGTCGTCCATATATTCACATGCTTTAATTGAATCTAGAGGGAAACCCAACGTGTGTTGTTTCAGCATTTCTACCTCATTTAGAAAACAAATGGTTTGGAGAAGGAACTCATTCCATTCCAGGCATGTCTGCATTTTTCAGAGCTGTTTAAAGTGCAGCAGGAAAGATGAAGACAGGAAGTAGAAACTGTGGCTGCATGTGTATCAGACTCTGATTAGCATGTTCTGCAGCAGATCATCTCTGTCACGACATTGTTGATATCCATGCGACAGTTTTAGGTCACCAGTGTTGGTAACGAGTACTCAGATTACTTTCTTACCTTCTGCAAAACATGTTATACGTTCATTACTTTTGTATGAAAGTTGCATTTCCCTCTTCTTCCTTTTGTCCCTGAAGCATGTGCAGTTTGTGTTTCTCTTCCTCTCTGGGCACGTCACTGCATATGAGCAGAAGGTTGGCCTTCAGGTGTGTCAGCGCATGTGTAGCGAGCTAATTCAGCGAGTAAGATGGCGGAGAGAGCAGCCTTTCACTTCCCGTTATTTTGACTTTTTCTTCTATCTTATATTGCATCTGTTATTCCTGACTGCTCGGGGTAGAGCCGCTGCTCCCTTATCAAAAAGAGCCAGCTGAGGTGGTTTTGGCGTCTGATCCCTTGTCCAACTGGGAGTAGACCCAGAAATATGAATGTTTGAGGCCTTAGTGGCGTCCCCCGTCTGTTCCTGCAGGGGGCGCTGGAGTCCCATCAATGGCGGTCTCCATGCTGGAAATGCTGTCTCAGTCTAACTTTCAGTCAACCTAACGACAGGCTGAGAGCTGGAGCTGAGGCGGGTTTTAAACCTCCTGACAAACCGTTACACCGCGCCCACCTGTCAATCAGGTCAGCTACACGCCTTATTGTGAATAACTCTTATCCTTCATCAAATCAAAACTGATGAGTCATCAAAACATTCACCCCCCGTACAGTGTGTGTCCATCCAGACATGAGCTAATCACACCTATTTGGTTTTTTGAACCAGGCTGTAAACATGTTCATCTCTGCTGTAAAAACAGGCTTTTTAGAATGGGTGTGTATGTGACTTCCTGTGTTCCTGCAGCCAGCCTCTAGTGGACACTCCAGGAACTGCAGAATTTTACGTCTGTGCGTGCATGCATGCGTGCGTGCGTGTCACTTTGAGCTTTGCTTTAGATAAACCAGTTGAACGTCTCTTTTCGACCTTCTAGGCTGAATACTTTAGAAGCTCTCAGATAACTCGCTTTAAGCAACCAGACTGAAGCAAGACAACTGAGAAAGTGATCGACTTGTTCACCAACTCAACAAGCACACCAAGAGGAAGCTCTTTATTTAGTGCTCTACAAATAAAGATGGATTGAAATGTGTTTCTCATAGTGTGAACACACTCATTTTCCCACATCATCACTGAGATTAGAACGAAAATGTCTCTTTTTAAAAGAACAAATAACTTCAGTTAATTTGTCATTTTTATCCTCCGGTTACACCTGAAACTTTACTGGTAAATGCAGATCACATGGAGTTTGGAAGTTCATTCCACCACCGGGGGGCGACAGAGGAGAAGAGTCTAGTCAGAGACTTAGGACCCTGTTGTGAAGGTTGGATCAGACGCCTTTCATTGGCAGAGCGTAGAGGGGGGGAGGGAGTGTAGACATTAAGGTCCAAATAGCAAACTGGTGTGCAGAGTTAAAGGAGCAATCTGTAACTCTGACCCCTAGTGTTTAAAATGGGTACTGCAGTCTAAATTCTAAACATCATAGAGAGCTGTGCAGAGGCTTTTTAGGTCGGGTACAATCACTTCTATCTGAACCACTTCTCTTGACCGCTTCCATCACTGCAACACCTGTTGACCTGATAACTGCTCTCATATCTGACAAACCGAGGGGCGTCCAAAACGGCCGTGTGGGGGCGTGTCTTAAAAGCGCCTACCTTCTCTGGTCCAAACAAATCCAGAGCATTCAGGAGCAGAATCTAAAGTTAGAAGGAGGACATACTGGCTGCTGCATTGTTGTCAGAGAAGCCAGCACTTCAACATAGCATGTTTCCTTAATGATCAGATAGTAAGATACCTTTATCATCTCACTCTCTCCACATCTCACTGATTGGACCTTTAAGAACCAAGGTCTTAGTTCTTTCTTAGGTCAGGTCGTAGCTCAGAGTTCTGGATTGTGTCATTAAGTCTACATTTACGACGTGGTGGATCCTGATTGTAATGCAGCTGCTCAAGCGTAACTCTGGGTTTTCCAGCAGTTTAGGACTCTCCGCCCCCCCGGCGTTTAGACATGTTGGGTATAATGAATCTGTAAGGAATGCTGCATCATACTTAACTGTCAGAAGTTAAGCATGCTGAGATGAGACAAAGCTTGGGAGCCTGTGTGCCTGCAGCCCTGTGTGTTCTGTATCTACCCTTTGAACCCCTATGTGTGTTTGAAACAGTCTCAAGAAGTTAATGTTTGTCATTCTGAAGCCCTTTTTTTATGTTCGTGTGTTATGCGTCTCTAACAAAATCTCTAACAGTCTGCAAAGAAGAGCAGCAGCGAGCCGAGTCCTTATGTCCAGATGACTGTCGGACACAAAACACTCGAGAGCAAGGTCAGTCATCTTCACAAGTATCCATTTGTATGATTATATTTCACAGTTCATCCTTTGGTCCCTTTGGTGGGGGGGGGGGGGGTCTCCTGAGGCATGTTGAACTCGTTCTGTAGTACCGGCCTCAGGAGGTCACTGATCCTTAGCTCTTCATGCAGATCCTCTGAAAGCTGCTTGTCAGGTGTGACACAGAATAAATCGATATGAATCAATACAGACCCGAAGTGTTTGTATGTTTTTACTTTTCCACTGATTCAACATTTCAGAGCAAAGTACAACATTTCCCACCTCTGATTCATAGATTTCCAAATGAATTGTGTTTTCAATTAGCTGCACTCAATTGTCTCTTAATTAACCATCGATTTCCTGTCCGCCCGTAAAGGTCCGCTACAAGACCAAGGAGCCTCTGTGGGAAGATTGCTTCTCATTCCTCGTCCACAACCCGAGGAGACAGGAGCTGGAGGTGGAGGTAACCATGCAACCAAATGATGGAAGTAGTTGACTGTGTCTCAAAGCCGTTGATCTTCTCCTTTTTTCCGATGCACAGGTAAAAGATGACAAGCAGAAATGCACCCTGGGTAATCTGACGGTGCCTTTGAGCAGCCTGTTGGAGGAGGAGGACATGACGCTGACTCAGTGCTTTCCTCTCAAGAACTCGGGGCCCAGCTCCAGCATCAAACTCAAGATGGCCCTGAGGGTAACGATGGACTCCCTCACTCCTCACCTGACATTCAGGACGTACTGTGATAGGTGATGTGCTGCTACAGGCACGATCACTGACTCTGAGAAGGTTATGCTAAGAGCTAAAGGCTAATTACATCCTTAGCTAAGCTCATACTTCATTTAGAAAGTGTTTCTACACCAAGCTAGAGGGAAACTGTTAGCTGATAATGGCCAAAGATTGACCTTTCAAAACCCTTAAAGGTCACATGATGCTAAATCCACTTCACCATGTTCCTCTAGTCTGTCTACAAACCCCCCAATGATGAGAAAAGTCCATCCTCTCCGCCTTTTGCCTGCTCCACTTTTCAGAAAATGTGTGCTCAAACAGGCCGTTTGGAGATTTTCCCTTCATGACATCACAAAGGGCAGTAGCCCCTCCCCCAGGTGGGTGACACTCCCACAGCTGGGTGTTTGTTCTGCCCTCTGAGTCTGCCTTCTCACCGTAAACAATAGGACATGGAGCGAGAAAGCACCGAGTACACCCAAGCCCTTCCAGAGAGGGGGGCGTGGTCAGACACAGCTCATTTACATATTTAAAGGTACAGGCACAGAAACAGCCTGTTCTGAGCAGGGCTGAAATAGAGGGGGTTTATAGACATGATCAAATACTGGATCAGAGTGGATTTAGAACAAGAAACTTCACACACATGTTTTGAGGAGCTCTGAGACTTATTTAGAAAAACATGGTAAAGTGTATTTTGCAGAATATGTGACCTTTAAATAACAGAATTTAGTCCTCCACTAACGTCCTCCTGTCTCTCTCTGTAGATCCTGTCTTTAGAGAAGCAGGTCTCCTCAGATCAGCCCTCCTCCGTCCGGGTCAGGAAGTCCAGTGTGCCGCAGCCAAACCCGACCCCATGCATGAGACTGTCAGCCTCAGATTCCCCTGTACCTCCTCCCACACCTCCGCCGCCCATAAACGCCTCCACCCTCACCCTCCAGCAGCGGGACGGCGAGCCGTACTCAGCCAGCCCTCTCCGCAGCGTCTCCAACCTGAGCAGCTGCATGTCCAGCTCGCAGAAACACCTGCCTCACAAGGAGTCCACACCCAGCCTGGCCTCCGACATCTCCCTGCCGTTTGCCACTTTGGAGCTTCAGCAACGCCTCCGTCAGCTGCAGAAGTACAATCTCCCCCTGTGACACATTATTCCTTTAATCCTTCCCCGTCCACTGTTTCTTCCTCCTCGATATAAAAAAAAATTATTTTTCAGATGTGCACCTTTCAGAACATTTTTCTTTTATTGTGATAAGGTGTACATAGACATGACAATTAAAGCAAATAAGCAAAAACAGGCAAAACAGAAATAAACAAAACAAAATCAAAATATGCAAAACATTAGCAAAGACAAATACAATTAAAGTAGATATAATAAAAGTCAAGTAGTAAGTTGAGGTAGTGTATAAGAAAAGTGTGTGTGGCAGTGTGATGCATTAGAGTGAGTGGCAAGAAAATAATTGAGAGGAAAAGAAAAGAGATATTTTAGAACATTTTGATGTCACTGCCCGTCAGAACCCCTCACTCTCCATGTTTTATTCATTCAGCTGCAGCTTCTGGGTGTGACACTAACTCACTGTGGTGTGTTTATAGCGGCTCGGCCCCGGGCCAGTTCCCCTTGGGTGAGATCCAACTGACAGTCCGACACAGCGCCCAGAGGAATAAACTCATTGTGGTGGTGCACGCCTGCCGGTGAGGTCCACGGCTCCAATAATTCACTGCATTTTAATGTGTTTTTAAAAGAAGATTTATGATCCGTAAACACTTTCCTGTTCGTCCTTGTTTGTGTCTTCCCAGGTCTCGCTCTTTTACCGTCATTTATGGGAAGTGGTTCTTAAAGGGATACTTCAACCTTTAGCATTAATCTTTGTATCATTAGAAACCTGGTAGTGTTTTTGAATGGTCGTGCATCCCGCCCTCATTTTCCCCTGAGATGAGAAATCTTTGTATTTCTGAGTCTGAAAAGGAGCTTCCAGCTTCCAGTGACGCAAGATGACCATTTTTGCATCACTGGAAGCTGTTGTGCTTAGCGGGGTGAAACTACAACGCTAGTTCCTCATATTTTTGACCACTGAAGCTACAGACCAATCACAGATCAGTGGGTGGGAACTCACTCCCAGAATCAAAACTTAACGTCCGCCATATTGCTTTGAAGCTATGTTAACAGGCTCTATGGAGAAAGCCGGCCTGCGGTGCTGTGCATTCTGGGATTTGGTGTCTTTCATCCACATGAGCCAAAAAGACACTTTCTGACTTTTCTCGGTCAAGAAGGCTCCAACTTCAAAATGTATTTCACATTTCTACATATATGACCCAAAGTCAGATTCATGTTTCATGGTGAAGTGTCCCTTTAAGGAAAGTCTCCTCTTGCTGCCTGTAGTTCTATTTACATACAAGAGTGAATGGGCACCCTGAAAGTCAACATGTCTGGCAGCATGTGAGTGAAACTATGTTGTCCTGTGTGTCCTCAGTAACTTGATCGCCTTCACCAAAGACAGCTCCGATCCCTTCATCCGCCTCTATCTGCTGCCCGACAAGAGCAGGACGGGGAGGAGGAAGACCGGCGCCATGAAGAGGACCCTCCACCCTGTTTATGATCAAACGTGGGTTTGAATGTTCATGAAGGTGTTTGATGAAGGGGTCTGGCCTCTCACCTGGGCTGAGTTTGGACTTTATGTCTGTGTTCAATGTGTGTTTGGCAGGTTTGAGTTTAGTGTTTCGATGGTGGAGCTCCACAGGAGAACTCTGGATGTAGCAGTGAAGAACGGGGGGAGCATCCTCTCCAAACACAAAGGACTCTTAGGAAAGGTAAATCTACAATTCATTTATCAGACGCTTTAATCCAAAGAGACGAACGTCAAGAGAGTTAGAACAACACGAGAGAGGAGAGAGAGAGAGGAGAGAGAGAGAGGAGAGAGAGAGAGGAGACAACGTCAGGAGGATCAGACACACAGGAGCTGACAGGAAGTGACCAGAGACAGAGAACAGGAGCTGACAGGAAGTGACCAGAGACAGAGAACAGGAAGTGACCAGAGACAGAGCACAGGAAGTGACCAGAGACAGAGAACAGGAAGTGACCAGAGACAGAGAACAGGAAGTGACAGGAAGTGACCAGAGACAGAGAACAGGAAGTGACCAGAGACAGAGCACAGGAAGTGACCAGAGACAGAGAACAGGAAGTGACCAGAAACAGAGAACAGGAAGTGACCAGAGACAGAGAACAGGAAGTGACAGGAAGTGACCAGAGACAGAGAACAGGAAGTGACCAGAGACAGAGCACAGGAAGTGACCAGAGACAGAGAACAGGAAGTGACCAGAGACAGAGCACAGGAAGTGACCAGAGACAGAGAACAGGAAGTGACCAGAGACAGAGCACAGGAAGTGACCAGAGACAGAGCACAGGAGCTGACAGGAAGTGACCAGAGACAGAGAACAGGAAGTGACCAGAGACAGAGCACAGGAGCTGACAGGAAGTGACCAGAGACAGAGCACAGGAAGTGACCAGAGACAGAGAACAGGAAGTGACCAGAGACAGAGAACAGGAAGTGACCAGAGACAGAGCACAGGAGCTGACAGGAAGTGACCAGAGACAGAGCACAGGAAGTGACCAGAGACAGAGCACAGGTGCTGACAGGAAGTGACTAGAGACAGAGCACAGGACCTGACAGGAAGTGACCAGAGACAGAGAACAGGAAGTGACCAGAGACAGAGCACAGGAGCTGACAGGAAGTGACTAGAGACAGAGCACAGGACCTGACAGGAAGTGACCAGAGACAGAGAACAGGAAGTGACCAGAGACAGAGCACAGGAGCTGACAGGAAGTGACCAGAGACAGAGCACAGGTGCTGACAGGAAGTGACCAGAGACAGAGAACAGGAAGTGACCAGAGACAGAGCACAGGAGCTGACAGGAAGTGACCAGAGACAGAGAACAGGAAGTGACCAGAGACAGAGCACAGGAGCTGACAGGAAGTGACTAGAGACAGAGAACAGGAAGTGACCAGAGACAGAGAACAGGAAGTGACCAGAGACAGAGAACAGGAGCTGACAGGAAGTGACTAGAGACAGAGAACAGGAAGTGACCAGAGACAGAGCACAGGTGCTGACAGGAAGTGACCAGAGACAGAGAACAGGTGCTGACAGGAAGTGACTAGAGACAGAGAACAGGAAGTGACCAGAGACAGAGAACAGGAAGTGACCAGAGACAGAGAACAGGAAGTGACTAGAGACAGAGAACAGGAAGTGACCAGAGACAGAGAACAGGAAGTGACTAGAGACAGAGAACAGGAAGTGACCAGAGACAGAGAACAGGTGCTGACAGGAAGTGACTAGAGACAGAGAACAGGTGCTGACAGGAAGTGACCAGAGACAGAAAACAGGAAGTGACAGGAAGGGACCAGAGACAGAGAACAGGAAGTGACCAGAGACAGAGAACAGGAAGTGACAGGAAGTGACCAGAGACAGAGAACAGGAAGTGACCAGAGACAGAGCACAGGAAGTGACAGGAAGTGACCAGAGACAGAGAACAGGAAGTGACCAGAGACAGAGAACAGGAAGTGACAGGAAGTGACCAGAGACAGAGAACAGGAAGGGACCAGAGACAGAGCACAGGAAGTGACCAGAGACAGAGCACAGGAAGTGACCAGAGACAGAGCACAGGAAGTGACCAGAGACAGAGCACAGGAAGTGACCAGAGACAGAGCACAGGAAGTGACCAGAGACAGAGAACAGGAGCTGACAGGAAGTGACCAGAGGCAGAGCACAGGAAGTGACCAGAGACAGAGAACAGGAAGTGACCAGAGACAGAGAACAGGAAGTGACTAGAGACAGAGAACAGGAAGTGACAGGAAGTGACCAGAGACAGAGAACAGGAAGTGACCAGAGACAGAGCACAGGAAGTGACCAGAGACAGAGAACAGGAAGTGACCAGAAACAGAGCACAGGAAGTGACCAGAGACAGAGCACAGGAAGTGACCAGAGACAGAGCACAGGAAGTGACCAGAGACAGAGAACAGGAGCTGACAGGAAGTGACCAGAGGCAGAGCACAGGAAGTGACCAGAGACAGAGCACAGGAAGTGACCAGAGACAGAGAACAGGTGCTGACAGGAAGTGACCAGAGACAGAGCACAGGAAGTGACCAGAGACAGAGAACAGGTGCTGACAGGAAGTGACCAGAGACAGAGCACAGGAAGTGACCAGAGACAGAGAACAGGAAGTGACCAGAGACAGAGCACAGGAAGTGACCAGAGACAGAGAACAGGTGCTGACAGGAAGTGACTAGAGACAGAGAACAGGTGCTGACAGGAAGTGACCAGAGACAGAGAACAGGAAGTGACCAGAGACAGAGAACAGGAAGTGACCAGAGACAGAGAACAGGACCTGACAGGAAGTGACGAGAGACAGAGAACAGGAAGTGACCAGAGACAGAGCACAGGAAGTGACCAGAGACAGAGCACAGGACCTGACAGGAAGTGACCAGAGACAGAGCACAGGACTGACAGGAAGTGACCAGAGACAGAGCACAGGACCTGACAGGAAGTGACCAGAGACAGAGCACAGGACCTGACAGGAAGTGACCAGAGACAGAGCACAGGTGCTGACAGGAAGTGACCAGAGACAGAGAACAGGAAGTGACCAGAGACAGAGCACAGGAAGTGACCAGAGACAGAGAACAGGAAGTGACCAGAGACAGAGCACAGGAGCTGACAGGAAGTGACCAGAGACAGAGAACAGGAAGTGACAGGAAGTGACCAGAGACAGAGCACAGGAAGTGACCAGAGACAGAGAACAGGAAGTGATCAGAGGCAGAGAACAGGAAGTGATCAGAGACAGAGCACAGGAAGTGACCAGAGACAGAGAACAGGAAGTGATCAGAGACAGAGAACAGGTGCTGACAGGAAGTGACCAGAGACAGAGCACAGGAAGTGACCAGAGACAGAGAACAGGAAGTGATCAGAGACAGAGAACAGGAAGTGATCAGAGACAGAGAACAGGTGCTGACAGGAAGTGACCAGAGACAGAGCTCAACATCAACAGCTGTTCATGAGAGTTCTCTCCCTAAACACCATCATCATCATCAATAATATGGAGACCATCATCATTAAGTTAGTAGGTATTCATGAAAGAGCTGGGTCTTTAGCTTTTTCTTAAAGGTGCAGAGGGACTCTGCAGATCATATGGAGTTTGGAAGTTCATTCCACCACCGGGGGGCGACAGAGAAGAAGAGTCTAGTCAGAGTCTTAGGACCCTGTTGTGAAGGTTGCTTTGTCTTTGTAAGGTTGCGTTGAAGGTGGCGTTCACTCATCAGTCTCTTCTGCTCCTGCACGTTTTGTTTTGTTGTAAAAATGAGCAGCTGACATGATCCCTGTACTCCTAAGAAATCTCATTTTGGTTCTTCTTGTTCTTCTTGCAGGTGATGGTAGATTTAAGTGGGGAGGATATATCCAGAGGATGGACACAATGGTAAAACGTTGTCGTCATTTCTTCCCCGTTGACAGATTGATTTCCTGCTGTGCTTCACTCTAACTCTTTCTTTATTTGTCTTGCAGGTATGACCTCAGTGAAGACGGGTGGAGTTCTCAGAGCATAAGAAGTATTCAGGACCCTCTTCTCACATAGTGATGCCTTCTCTGATTTAATACAATCTTGTTCCAATAAGGGCCCATCTTTCAGTTTTATTGATGTACATTTTGTTCATAAAGTTTAACAGGAATTCTTTCCGCATGCAGAAAGTTTTTCTGATCAGGATTAAATTACGATCCGGGTCGGAAGATATTGTGATGCTTTGAAACACAATGGCCGCCTTGTCTCTCCCTGTTTCTCCGTGTTTCATGTAAATATCAAGTCTCTAACATATAATAAAGTTCATTTACAGGGCGTTATGGGAAACTGTTTTGAAATAAACGTTTCTTCATCTGAGACTCAAAGGAAGGCTTGAGTAGCAGCCTGGACTTTGTTTTTTATTTAATTTTGTCATGCAGTGTTATTCAATTGTTTACCTCTTATTCTTATGTTATGCTTGATTACAGACACTGAATGCAGAGATTTAAATTATTCGTCTTGTGTATTTTAAGAGGACTTTGTGCAATATTTGTTGTTGTGGTTGTCGTCTCAGATCCTGAGAACATGAGGGCATTTTAGAGTGATGAACGAGAGCGGTTAAGGATACTTGAATAAGGGTTGAAATGTTATTTAATCCAAATGTAAGTCAGACAAAGGGAGTAATATGAGACGTCAGAGAGCAGGGCTGACACAGACATGTTGACAATGGCTTGTCCATGTTTTTCTTTTTTTGCCACGCAGTCCTAACTGTTCGTTGAAGCGGTTAAAAACTTTGATCTATCCTGTGCCTTAAAATAAAAACAGCGATGTACGTTTTTTGCCTTGTTAATGTTATTTTTTGAATGACATGAAGCCTCCAGTGGTTTGAAGAGAATAAACCTTTTCTCATGTGAAAGTGGGC